TGTATATAAGCAATTGCTACAATAATTTCTCTTAGAAATGTATCAGAATTAGAGAACTTTATAATGCTTAACAAGTTTGATTTAATTTTTCAGTTAGAAACAAGGAAAACTGATTTAAAGCACATGAATAATCTTACCGTATAAATACAATTTCCAAGAAACAAATAGTCTGCAGTTCGACCATGTGGCAAAACAATATCTGAAAAATGAAAAAAAATCATTTAAAAATATTTATACAGTTTATTATTTTGAATTCATTTTTAACAAAGTGATTAGTTATGGTCGCCAAAAAATATTTATCAATTGTTGGGCATATTTCTAAACTGCTCTGCCATTAACAGCACTGCTTTCATTGCCTGTCACAACTGTGACTTTATCCCCAACTCTTACTCTCCCAAAGACATATCAAGCAACAAAATACAGAAGTCACAGGGAAAACATGAATGTTTTTATTAAAGGCAACTCCACCTCCATAAACCACATGACAGAACCCATAAAGTAAAAGTCCAGACATCCCAGTGAGTAATGGTGGGGGAAGAGAAATTTTAGCAAATTTTTTATCATGTGTTTCATACTATTCTTCTTCTAAGTTACTAAAACAATAAAGAAAATAGATATTTTGGACATTATGTCAGGATTTCATAATTCTTTTCAGTTACTGCTGAATCTGCTATAAAACTTATGAATTCCATTCTGTAAATATCTGAAGATTTGGGTGATTTTTACATATCTTCTTTATGTTTTTAGGTTCTTGAATACATATTGCTGATATCTATTTCTGGCTGATATTAAAAATTTGGAGTGTGGCTGGGGATTTAGCTCAGCAGTTCGGTGGCCTGCCTTGCAAGCGCAAGGACCCGAGTTTGATCCCCGGTACAAAAAAAAAATTTGGAGTGCAAACTCCTAATCCAAACACCAACTTGGTCTGTTTGTATATTTGAACTCAATTATTGCTTTTCTACTGAGAACCTACTAAAATACTAAAATATATCCTTTCCTAAAGCTATATGCTATGGAAAATTCAGGGAATCTTATTAAAGAAAATGTAGATAAATATTTTAAACCAACTAGGAAAATTACAATCATAGTTCTAGATTGTGCATTACCAATACTTTGTGAGTTTATTGGGAGCAGGATGGTAGTATAGATGAGAAGAACTGACAAGAAAAACAAAGAAAACCACTGTGCAGGAAGGTGATGTTGAATTATCCTGTTCAGAAATGTATTCACAGAGGGCATAGAGAGATTAGAAGCTATGTTGAGAAAGAAGGGAAACTTCCAGTACCAACATTACGATGTGAAACAGAAATTCTTTTCTTTCTGGGTATTGCACAAAATCAATAATAGAAGGAAAACTGCACAAAATCTATGTCAGAGAAACAAGGAGATAAAGTATCTTCAAGTTCAGTAAGCTAATGAAGCATCCAAGCATCTGAGGTAACTATAGAAGGTAGGCTTGCTGCATAGTAGTAAAAGATTCTCTGATGTAAATAACAAGTTGGCCTAGGACAGCAGATTAGCAAAGCAGCTGATATTCCTTAAAAGAACCCTGTCTGAAATAGACAATCTAACCACTTCCATGAAGAGCAATAAAAAGGAAGTAGGCACAACACCCATAAAATGCAACAGGGTGGGGGCAGAATGTTCTATTTTATGATTTGTGTGGTTGTTTCTCATTGTACTATAAATTTGTGTCATATGTGTATCTTTTCAAGTGGAATAAAACAAATGAGTGGAACAGAATAGAACAATTTATCAGATGAAGGATATTCATAAGGGAATTTTGCAACAAAACCTATTCTAACCAACCAAACAGGAAATGATGAGGGAAGCTAGAGCAAAAGACCATGAACATTTGACGTAGTTAACGATAGATATAAGAATAAAAATCCAGAACAAATGTGGTGATAGCATGATAAATGTGTTTGTGATTATCCTACGTCCATACATTGTGGGAATAGTGCAATTTATATCATTCACAAAAGTACCAATGAAGTAATTGGGAAATAGAGTGAGCTTGCAGAAGGGCTCAGCAGGTCAATAAAGAACACTTGAAGGCCGGGGATTTAGCTCAGCTGTTTGGTCTGCCTTGCAAGGACCCAAGTTCAATCCCCAGTACCAAAAAAAAACAAAAGAACACTTGAAGTTAACAAGTGCTGCGTTGGTGTTGCAAATACATTTACAATGTAGAGGTATGCCATGGACAAGGCAAAAGGAAGATGGAGAAAAGGGAAAAGGAGAAGAAGACAAACATGATCATTTTATTATTATTTATGTGAAGGAATAAATGAATTTGAGGAAATAGAACAGTGTTCAGATAACATAATTAAAAAATGAACTACAAGGAAAAAATTCAAAACTTTCTGAGTATCAAGACTATAAAAATAATCAAGAAAACCAACCACATAATGAAAGATTAGAAAAACACATCAAAACAAGAAATAGAAAGTAGGATGAGACATATTAAACAAGATCTATTTTAAAATGAGTTTTAAATAAAATCTCCAAATAAAACTTGACTTGATGCTGTGTACAAGCAGCATACCTAAAAAAAAGAAAAGAATTCCATATAATTGAAAAATAAAGGATGTCAAGAAAAATACAAATTAAAAAAATGAGACACTATATTAACATTATCTAAGAAGAAAATGAAGCTACAAAGAAGACAACGAAGGGTACTTTGTAAAGCTAAATGAAAAAGTTTCAAGAAATATGAAATAGAGGTATTAGTGCAACAAATAAAAAATATTTCCAAATCATAAATTATGAGAAATACAAAGGAAAATAGGTAGGAGAGTAGCAGAAGACTTTCATCTTTCTCATTTTCTAACAGATCAAGTGTGAGGAAATAAGCAAGAAAGAGCTTTCATCTTTCACCCATGAAGAAGTAGTGAGTCTTGACTCCTCCATAATAAATTAGAAAGTTGGACAAAATATGTGAAATAACTTTTTTTTTTCAGACACTGGTAAAAAGCATAACAAAACTTTGATCCGTGAAAGAAGAGTAAAAAATTAGATGAGTCCTATTATCTCATCCTTGCTTCTTACCTAGAGGCAGTTTTAGGATTACAGGGTAGACAGAAAGAGCCCAAAAACAGCACAACATTTTTGCTGAGTTAATGAGTCAGAGATTGGACTTTAGAGAAGCCAAGGTGGCTCAAATCTGCAGAACACAATATGGGAACTAGAGAACGACCTCCAGAAATTCATGTGTGATCCTCATAAGTCCCTGACTGGAGGTTAATTTAAATGTATGTACTAAGCAATTCCACCAGGCACCAAAGAGCACTACCATGGAAAAACAAATTACCATAGCAGTGCAAGATAAAAAAATGCCAGATCTAATACAGATGTAGGAGCTTCTCAAATTCTCATACTCCAAACAAAAAAAGACTTTGTTCAATATATGAAGCACTTAGTAGAGATACCAAAAGAAATAGATTACTTTTGTAAAGAAATAAAATTCATCTGAAAGATAACTAGAATCATCTTCTTTAAAAAGAAGACAAATTTTGAAAAGATAACAAAATAACTCATTTAATTAAAAGTACTTGGGGGCCTCGGCACAGGAACAGTGAGTGGTGCAGCCACATGGAGCTTGCCTGGGACTACAGCCCCACATCTCCTGGCCTCAGTGGAGGAACTGTGAGAGATGCAGCCATGAGGGTGCCTGCAGCCCCCACCCACCTGCATACACCTCCAGCCTCCTGGCTGGGCTCGTATCTGGATTCACACAACAGAGGCACAGGGAGTCATAAGGGCCACTGTTCTGAGCTCTAGCCTCAATTTTGATTTAATTCACACAGTTAAAGGTGATAGATTAATAACTACCACAAATTGTCATTTTTCTGAGTTGTGCTTGATGCTAGTGTGTTGCTGTTTGCATCACTTGGTCTAAGGTGTTCTGATTGATTTAATCAGTTGTCCTTCCTGGTATAATGAAAATGAGATTGCCTCAAAGTAATTAGAGTCTCAAAACCTAAAGACAAGCTATAACAGGAAGATCAAAGTATTCACCTAGAAATTAAACCAAGGACAGTGCCAACAACAAAAATAGAAATGAGAAAAACATTCAAGCAAGGCACAAGCACAGACACAGGCTCCCTGTTCATCAAAGGCAAATTTTAAATTAAATGAGGTGGAATAGTCTGATAATCAAACCACTGGACATCCTGAACTGATAGCACAGGAAGTAACAAAACAGATGAATGAGGATCTAGAAAAATTCAAAACAGAAATAATTTCTGAGAAAACTAGAGATGGTGAGCAGAATGAAAGACATGATTAGAGACTCTAGAACAGAAACAGATTAAAAAAAAAAATACATGCGCTCAGGACCATAATAAAAGCCAGGAATGCTCCACATAGGAAAGAAATGGAAACCATGAATGCAGAACATAGGAAAGAACTGGAATCCATGAAACAGATTCAAACAGATATTCAGGAGATTAAAAACTCTATTGAAAGTATACATAACAGACTGAGCCAATCTGAAGACAGGATATCAGATATAGAAGACAGGATAGCAGTCAGTGACTATGGAAAGATGGATCTTTTTTTAAAAAGTAAGGTAACATGAGAAATCAATCAAACAGCTCCTAGATGATACAAAGAAGAATAATATACGATTGGCAGAAGTCCATTAAAAAGTATGAGAAAGTACAAGTGACATGAAAAATTGTTCATAGAATTAATGACACAAAACTTCCCAAACACAGAAAAAGAATTTGACATACATATAAGTGAGGCTTATAGGACTCCAACTAGCCATGATCATGAAAAATCTATGCCTAGACATGTAATAATCAAGATACCAGAAACTCAACAGAAGAATGAAATACTATGAGGAGTTAGAGAAAACAAATCACATGCAAAGGAAAGCCCATCAGAATCACAGCAGGCTTTTCAACCCAAACACTCAAGTCAAGGAGAGCCTGGAGTGAATCTCTAAAAGAAAACAATCTCCAACCTACACTGATGTATCCTGAAAAACTATCTTTCAAAATTGATGGGGAAATAAGATACTTCCATAACAAAGAATGCTTGAGAAACTTCATGAAAACCAAACCAGCTCTCCAAACAATTCTAAATAGTATCCTAAAAAAGACAATGAAGATCACAATTCCATGAGGCCCAAAAGAGCAAATCCAGCAGGCAAGGCATGAAATTAAGGGGGGGGGGATTAAAAAGAGCCAACAA